CTGCTTTCCGACATGATCTTCAAAGATCAACAAGGACATTCAAAGCAAGGGTTCAAAATGTTCAAAGTAGCAATTATCCAAAATGAGAGGTCCGAACCTGATCCGAAGCCAACGAGAATGTTGCCCATCCAAGAATAATATGATTCACCACCAATGGTCATATCTAACCCATCCGAATGGCCATTTGACCTAGATCCACAGATCCATTGAGCACCAAGCAGAGAAGGTTTCCCGCACCATGACAATCAGGTCCTGCTCAAATCAGGTCCTGCTCAAATCGCTGAATGGATGAAAATGGAGGTTGGGTTTCCCATCCAAAATTGTGATTTACCCAGAATGTAGCACCATTACATGATCTTCAAGGATCACCGTGGCATTGTGGCCATATTCTTTAGTGTATCCAAGAAATCATCTTTGGCAAATTCACCCCGAACATTGATTTTCTTTTGAATAAAGGCCATGAAATTGCCAAAAAAAAATGTGGAACTGCAAGGATTCAGTGCATGGACGTCCAATCTCAGGTACAAGCGTATCTTTTGATTTGTTTCATACCTCAAAGGGATTTCAGAGACATTTCCCTTGCCCCAAGCAGTGCGGTCCCATAGGTTCTTTAAGAGCACCAAGTTGTTGTAGCAGTCGATCCTGGCCAAAAATAACAACACATACGGATGTACCCTTCTGTCGACACCAACCAGCTGGTTGCTCATGGCTGTTCAGCCCTCCGTTTCGATGTATTGGACTGTATAAAAGGAAACTACAGGGAACCCCCCCAAAAAACAAGAGGGTGGTATCCTGTACATTACATGTTCCATTAAAACTAGCCCAGGTTCATTAAATCTGGTTCCTCAATTTTGTTTTTAAAGAGTCAAAGTCTTTGTTGCTAAACTTTCAACTTGTATTGGTGAAATTGCACATGAATCTTACATAAGTATAAAAAATCTTTATAAATCATCACAAATCTATACCAGTAGTACCGCACAAGGCGGTGGCGGAAGTTTCAAGAATAGGAAACCTATAGGAGAGTTTCTCAAAGGGAAAAACACTTTCAGGATGTCATTGTAACATCTTTCAAGGGTCATTGTCCACTTCGCCCTGTTTCATGTGCAAGTCCGAGATGAACCAAAGAAATTGAGCATCATATCCTGGTGCAAATCATCTGGATTCGGGTTCCTAAAGTTATGGCTTACCTCAACTGCAGATACCCTGGAAAACATTGCATCTTGAATCATTTTGAGCTGCTTGGCCTATTTCCCCATCAAAGAAACAAGGGTTTACCTGTAAATCTGTGGATAACATTTCAGCCACGCAAATTCCACTCCCACTGCCTGGCCTGGCGGACTCAATGAAGGCTTGCAACGGCATGATCCTTTCCTGCAGCCCAGATCTGCGGAGAGCCCATCAACACTCTGACTTGCAGCTGGTCGAAACAAGAACCAAGACTTATTCCACGCTGTGCAAAGAAAAAACATATGATGATTAAGACTTGAGTTTTTAAAAGAGACACAAGAATACATTGTGTGCTTTAGAAGGAATATAAGGAACTATTCCATCTTACCGAATGCCGTTTCACATCACAATGCGGTGCTGCGTGTAGATGCATGCCTGATGATTTGGTGATGAGCAATTTCACCCGTCTCAAAACAATATATAACCTACTCTGAGACTCTGATGTCAAAAGTGGAGATGCAAAATGCAAAGATTCAACTCACGTTGAGAACGACTATTTGCACGCGTTGTCTGTCAAAACTCAAGGCACGCTGCCCTGAAAAAGTTGAAGCGATCAAACTAAGAATGGACTCAAGTTCCCGCTCAATTCTTGAATGCCAACATCGGGAACTTGTTTGGTTGTGAGTCCTGGCTTGAACCAGTTTGAACCGGGAAGAAATGATTTGCAATGTGTTTGGTTGGCAAATGCCATCCAAATAGAAGTAGTGAAGATATACCAGCCTTCTGAAGATTGACAGCAACAATCGCAAGCTGTCTGTCCCGCACCTGGCCAGCTGGTGCTCTAGTGACACACTGCTACACTCTAACTTTTACTGGAGAATTTGTTAAACTCGCTGTTGGTTCTATCCCAGTCTGCGGGTTTGATAAATCTATAGATTTGCTGATGAATATCCCAAAGCAGCCAAACCCATGATGTCATCCTAGAACGCCACTTCCAGAAATACGAGGTGGTTTAGCCCTGGTACCCCTCGGATTCACACCAAAGATGGAAATCAAAGCCATTCACCATCAGTAAATGTCATGGCATGATATGGCACGATTCGAATTCACACCAAGCTGACAAGCCAATTTTTGTGGTTTCCCCAACAGTTTCTGTTTGCATATGAAAAACATATGAAAAACGAAAAACAATTATTGATGGATGGAGGATCATTCCCCATGGGGAAACAGCAACCACCATGGTCAAAACCATGGCAGATTGACGACTCAGCGAGCATGAAGCATCAGCTGCTGCGAATTCTGAAGAGCCTGGGCGCCCATCCGCAGATCACCGAATCAGTTGACAATTTCTGTTTTCTGAAAGATATGTCTGTTACAGTAATCTTCAAGCAGGAGAAGAGACACAGCGCACACCCACTCCGCCGCAGTCCTCATCATACTGTCGGCATTGCTACTCGTGCTACGTGTTGAACTCTTCAATCTCAGGAGCAGAAAGGCCCGCTTTGCAATGGATGGCTTGCGCACACACGGACTTCCTGCTGCATGGCAAAGATCTTGTCTTCTTTTTACACTTCCTCTCGCCTTTGGCTGAGGATAAATGGGAGAGCCGAGGAAAGATATCCCATTCGCCGAGCTTCAGTCCTTCCTCTCCAAGTGGTAGAAACAAGACTTGGGCTTAGCTGGCTTTGCTGGCTTAGCTGGCTTAGCTCTCTGGAGAGCGGAGTTTTCGTCAGAAACTGCGCGGATTTCCTTCCTTACCGTGATGAAACGAGGCAGCAATCGTATCGGGATATCAAAATATGGGTCAACTTGAGCATGCTTTCCTTTGGTGTGGCAACTCCCGCCGATGCTGGACAACGCAGAGCTTGCCATGCTTAAAGCAGCATCCGAGATACTGCGGATCACTTTAGGCTCCATCCAGGTTGGCGTAAACTTGTTCATCTGTCTCATGCCATGAGAATAGCTGGAGATCATATCACGATTCGAGTGGAAGGCGATCCAACTAACTGGTCAGAGATCTTGCAACCACAACGGTGCAAGCCAGGGAGCTGGTTGAGATGACATGCCAAAACTGTATGCCATGCATCGGTTCTTCAGGATGGGCCTCAAACAGCAAAGAACGTGTCAGACTCGGGAAACAGGGACCTCTGGTGAGCTGGCTCTGCTCCTTCCATCTGTCACTATCTCTCAATGCTGCCGCAGCGTCTCAATTGTGGCCCCTTCAGGTCTGCGGGATGGTAAGAACAGAGCAATCACAGGTCTCTACAGTGGAAGGCTTGGCGGCCCTCATTGTACACACAGGGTGAAAGGTTTGAGCCTTTGGTGGGTGACGGTGGGGACCAAAGCCGACGCCCAACCTGCCTCACCCATGGTTGGTGTTTAAGCTGTCACGGCTGTCACACCGTGTGAGGCCTTAGACCATCACGTCTTGGAACCTGTTAGGCCTGCGCCAAACCCTGGCAACGTGCTTTTGGCATCAAATGTTCCTCTCTACAGGCACCCTGAAAACGTTCAAGCTATAATTAAGCATTAAGACATGCAGACATGCACATCGTTGTCCAAATTCTGTACAAAATACTGCGGCAAACAGTTGCTGAATGGCTCTCCTGGCATTTCCCGCAAGACATTTGGCCTGAACTGAGTCTGCACTCTTTGGTTTTGACAAGTTCTCGCCAATTTCAAAAGCTTATCTTCTGGGAATCTCGATTTATACAGCTGGCTGACAGTCAAGCGTCCGCCTGTGGGAAACATCTTTCTGTGCCCAAAGGTTGCTTAAGCTGCAGCTGCACAGTAGACAGCTGCTTTGCACCAATCTTTTCATAGTAGGTGTTGGAATGTCAGCCTTCGGCCAGCGCAGAACTGATGAATCAATGAGTCAATCATCCACTGCAACAGCTGTCTGCATGTCCTCAACTGAGTCTGCACCTTCTGCTTTGGGCAAGTTCTCGCCAATTTCAAAAGCTTATCTTCTAGAAATCTCCATTTGTACAGCTAGCTGATGGGTCGTGGCTTCGAGGGCGAATAGCTGTGGTGCCAGGGATCTTTGTGGCCAGGCTTTCACACAAAATATCCGCCCAATTTGAAGTGAAGCTTCTGCCTGTGGAAAACATCCTTCTTCTGTGCACGTAGGTTGCTTAAGATACGGCTGCATAGTAGACAGTTCTGTGTACCAATCTTTTCATGCTAGATGTTGCAAATTCGGCCTTAGGATATTTGGCCTGAACTGAGTCTGCACTCTTTGGTTTTGACAAGTTCTCGCCAATTTCAAAAGCTTATCTTCTGGGAATCTCGATTTATACAGCTGGCTGACAGTCAAGCGTCCGCCTGTGGGAAACATCTTTCTGTGCCCAAAGGTTGCTTGAGCTGCAGCTGCACAGTAGACAGCTGCACAGTAGACAGTTGCTGAATGGCTCTCCTGGCATTTCCCGCAAGACATTTGGCCTGAACTGAGTCTGCAATCTTTGGTTTTGATCATTTTTTGCCAATTTCAAAAGCTTATCTTCTAGAAATCTCCATTTGTACAGCTAGCTGATGGGTCGTGGCTTCGAGGGCGAATAGCTGTGGTGCCAGGGATCTTTGTGGCCAGGCTTTCACACAAAATATCCACCCAATTTGAAGTGAAGCTTCTGCCTGTGGAAAACATCCTTCTGTGCACGTAGGTCCCTGAAGCTACGGCTGCAGAGTAGACAGTTCTGTGTACCAATCTTTTCATGCTAGATTTTGTAAATTCAGCCTCCGGTCCGCACTAAACTGCAGAATCAGTGAGTCAACTATATATATATATACGCTGTAACAGCTGTCTGCATGTCCTCAACTGAGTCTGCACCTTCTGCTTTGGGCAAGTTCTCGCCAATTTCAGAAGCTTATCTTCTGGGAATCTCGATTTGTACAGCTGGCTGACGGTAAAGTTTCTGCCTGTAGAAAACAACCTTCTGTGCATGTAGGTCCCTCAAGCTACAGCTGCAGAGTAGACAGTTCTGTGTGCCAATCTTTTCATGCTAGATGTTGTAAATTCAGCCTTCGGTCCGCACTAAACTGCAGAATCAGTGAGTCAACCATCCACTGCAACAGCTGTCTGCATGTCCTCAACTGAGTCTGCACTCTTTGGTTTTGGCATTTTCTTGCCAATTTCAAGAGTTCATCTTTCGACGATGCTCGATTTGCACAACTGGCTGACAGTCGAGCTTCTGCCTGTGGGAAACATCCTTCTGTACACATAGGTTCCTCAAGCTAAAGCTGGATGGTAGACAGCTTCTTGGCACCAATCTTTTCATGCTCGAATTCAGGCCTTCGCTCAGGCATGAAGAATCGATGTGCTTGTAAAGATTTTCCCATATCTATCAACTCAGGTCAGGTAAATTCATGGTGCTACTTATGATCATAAATTCTTGCTTGCATTTGAAGCTCCCGGCCTTGGGTTGGCAGCAAGTATCCTGGTCGCATAGTGCTAAAGGATCCGTGATGTATGTGGGTTGCTGGTACATGTTGGAGGTCTGCCATTCAGCCATCTATTTTTTACGAAAACCAACCCTCTCCACAATGCAAATTCCTTTTGATTCCGGAGTGTGAAAGGGACTGTGAAAGGGACTGTGAAAGGGACTGTGAAAGGCAAGTCTAGCGAGTCTGAAAGGAATTCACGAGTCTGACTGAAACCTGTCTAAGCCCAACATCCTCCTGCTCTCTTGCTCCTACCGAAGTAGAAATTGCCGCGGTTAATGACTCATCATGCAACATCTGCAGTTCTGTTTCGAAAGCAAAATCGATAGATATGATAGATATCGGATTGGCAATGCAAGTTGCCCAAAGTGCTTCAGGAATTCAAAATCATGCTGTGATTGATTTCGCCCTCCTGTCCACTGAAAACTGAGCCTACGTGTGCCAGCAATCCTCCTGAGAACGGCAACAGCACGGCCAAGCGAAAGGACGTCAGATTTCATGCAGCCAGATTCTGGGCAGCTCCAGGCATTGCTGGATGCTTGAAACTTAAAAGACTTAAGAGCTCAAAATGATTGCCTGCCTGGAAGCAAAAACTCTAAACAAGCCCGGTGCCATGCATTAACCGCTGTGTGGTCTTGCCACGCCTATGGCTGCACCTCGCCATGAGCTATAACCAACAGTGTTGAAAAAGCTTTCGGTCCGACAGCCAACGACTGGATTTGGCACCATGTCGTGTCACTTTTCTTTGCAGCTGCTGGGCAAGACCACGATGCGACAGGGATGCAGAATCTCTCGTACACAAAGGCTCTGCGCAAGCAAAAGTGGCGTGGGGATGTTCAAACCTGGAAAATTCAAGCACTGTATCCGAGCGTTGAAAGCAGTCCCCAAATGAAAAAAACGCAACGGCGATGACGCGAGTCCTTTCAATCTCAGTGGCAAATCGATGAGAGGAGTTGACACAGAATCACTGATTGGTTGCAGCTGGAAACAATGGTCTGGATGCCAGGAATATCATGGAAAATCTATTGATCCTTATCAAGGCAGGTCACAGGCGGAAAACCAATGGGTACCAAGACTTGCATTCCGACCAGTCAGAGACCGATTATCGCTTCGAAGTTTTATCAAAAGGCAACTGCGGCCAGTCTTCTTGCGCAGCCAAGCATCGACCCACAGACCAAAACGGGGTTTTGGAAAAAACAGGGCGCTACTGCTGCTAGTTGTCAGCTTCACATAGGCCTTAGGCAACTCAGCTCAAATGGAAACGTCTGCAGCACCCGTCTTCACTGATGCTTGGCAGCCACCTTTGCTCCTCAGGCTCCTACTCCAAGAACCCTCCCCTTCTTTTGCCACAACACAACAGAAACAGGAAACTCTTTGAACTCAAGGCAATAAACTGGTCATGGACTGTCCTTTCTCCTGCATACTCACCACATGCAAGAAATGACTATCAAGAAACCTAAATCGCTGCTGAACTTGTCATACATGGTTTTGTCTCATAGGATATAGGATTGACCATTGAAATGAGAGCTCACCTCTTCTACAGCAGGTTCAACGTGTGAATGCCCTAAGCACTTTAAAAGGAAATCAAAATCGTGCTGTGATTGATTTCGCCCTCCTGTCCACTGAAAACAGAGCCGACGTGTGCCAGCAATCCTCGTAAGAACGGCAACAGCACGGCCAAGCAAAAAGACGTCAGATTTCATGCAGCCAGATTCTGGGCAGCTCCAGGCATTGCTGGATGCTTGAAACTTAAAAGACTTAAAAGCTCAAAATGATTGCCTGCCTGGAAGCAAAAACTCTAAACAAGCCCGGTGCCATGCATTAACCACCGTGTCGTCTTGCCACGCTTATGGCTGCACCTCGCCATGGGCTATAACCAACAGTGTTGAAAAAGCTTTCGATCCAGTATCATGGCCAATGCACTCGGTCAGGGTTTGTGAGGGGTAGTGATATGCTAAGAAGAATGAGGATCAGGGGACTGCATTAGTGGCGTTGAATGTCTCACGGAATGGACAGTCAAAAAGTCAAAATGGCAATGTCCGTAACACAACAGCAGTTGAATGTCGGGTCAAACCAGCATCATGCTGTGATGAAAGGAATTGGTTGCTACGCATTTCGCACAGGTGATGATTTCTGTCCGACCATCATTGTACTTTCACCTGTCTTCCATGCCGCAAACATATTCTTTCTCAGGTCAGACTGCCATCGTGCTCATACTTGAAAGATAGGCAAAGCAACTGCATGTCTGGATTGACATGGGCGTGAGCACAAACACCTTTCTGCAAAGCCCTGCAGCAAACAGAAACCTTCAAAACTGCAGAGCACAAATGCTGCATCATGCTCCAAA